AAAGTAACATTAAAACAGCAAAGATTGTGTACAAATAAAATACTTATTTTAGTGAAAAATAAACTGTCCGCCTATGCCTGGTGTATTTTAGGTTTAACTGTGGTTCTTTTTTAGTAAAATTGCTCACAGTGGATAGAGTACTCAAAGTTTTTACTGAAGTAAAGGTTGCTATAATTCAGTAAAATGAAAAAGTATGTAGAACGAAACTACTTCTAAATCAATATTTTTATCAAAAAGTTACTCAAGTAAACAAACAGAGTAAATGAAATTACTTAATACCCCCCTCTGCTAGCATATCCTAGTTAACTCATTGAGTGGGATCGGGTTAACCATTGCTGGTGTGATAACTAAACCATAAATAATGCACTGGAATAGAAATCAAACAAATTTGATATTTTTTTGCTTTTACAGTTTTATTTTATCTATGATTTAGAAATTTGGTTGTTGTAATTTTAACTTCAGTCATATTGAGATAGGATAAAAAATGTCTCTGCTAGATTTACTGCAAATGACAAACAGATACAAACAACATAAATTAAAAAAATCCTGTTAATTATGTATTACTAAATGTAATATTATATTTATACGCTATGTTGTGGCTTTTTTTCATAGTCTATCGAAATATATTTAACCCCAGAAAAAATGCATGAAAACAATCAACTGCTCATTGTTATAGATTTTCTCTGTCGCTTTCTTTAACAGTAAGTGGATTTCTAAAAGCAAATAGTTCATATAATTATACACCATGACATACCTGCAAAAGATATTTATGGTGTCCATCTCCACAAATTATATATTTGGGTCAATATTGATGTCAGAATCATCAGAAGGAGAAGTTCTGCCATTGTGTAAGAATATATACAGTATATATAACAAGCTGTTTTTGTGAAATTACCATTAACCCTCAAGACACAAGAATTAAAACAGTTGGACACATACAGGGAGAACTGGATTAATACCTGGAAACACAGAGATTATCCTATTCTCAGTAGTAGAGATTTCTGTTTCCACCTGCTCGTTAAACAAAAGAAGCAGGTCAGAGGTCAGCAGCCTGAGGACGCTCTGTTTATCATCTGAATGCTCTCTATTGATAAAGTCGCATCATGCAGACCTGTTAATAGCGGCTGGTTCGATTTGGCTGTCCTCAGGTCAGGTCTGAGCTTAATCATGACGCAGGAGGAAAAGGTTTTTGCCCTTTTCCTCGTCTGATTTGCATCGCGCTGCGACCTGCAGCTCGACAGGTTCGCTACCTGCTTTCATCTCAGCTTTCATTAACAGCTAAATGTCATAGCAGTGAGAAACTTCTATCTCCACACTGGCTCAGCTGTGGCTGCCCTCACATCAAGCGATCCATTTAAGGCACAAAAACATAAAGGTTCTATGATCCCAGTTATTTTTTATTTTTTTTTGCCCCTGAAAATCCAGAACACAAAAAATTCTGTTTCTTTTTTTTTAAGAAAAATATGGGTTGTACATTAAAGCAGCATTGTCGATCTAAAAAAGGAGTAGCTCTGATTCGAATAAATGGGAAACTGACATCTTGAATCCACATTTTCAAGCAGATGATTGAAGGAAAATTAGGCCTAACTGATCAGCTGTTATACAGTATAGGAAGGGGAAAAAAAATTTAAAAAGTAAACCCAGAAATAGCCTTAGTGACTTTTAGTTGTGTTTCCGTTGAGAAATCAAGGTCTTGGACCCACACAGTTAACATTCGGCAGAGGATTTCAATTCATTCGTAGGCAAAAAAAGTTCCTCTTTACAATAAAACAGACTCACAGCTCTCTGCAGCTTCACTATCGTCGGTTTGCATCTGAGCGCCTTTTTTTTTCTGAGGAATAGAGGGTTAGTAGGAGGTGTGAAACAATTCTTTCAGACCTTTTAGTGGATCTTCAAGCTTTATTGATTCCTTACATTAGGCTAAAGCAGTTAAAGTCTGTAACACTTTTAAATAAAGCTTAATGAGTGCTGTCAATACAAATGTCTGCAGTAAATTCCATTGAAACATTCACCTTAACTGAATTTGAAAAGTCCAAATGTAAACACTCCTTCAAGCAGATGGATTAAATCCAATGATAGCTTTAAACACATAGAATAGTTCACCCTTGTGTACCTTCTAATTTTTTTCAGGTAAAGGAAACTTTTGCACCAAACTTGTTGCTGACATCAGGCTGAGGTAAGTTTGGTTCAATTTTCACCTTTAACTTTCAGCCAGCCTGACATGTTGGTATGTTTTTGGTAATTTTCATGTTTCAGGATTCTTAAAAAATAAATTTGAATTTTCACACTTGTGCACAATCCGTTACAGCTGAACTTCTGCAGACTCTTAGAAAGCAGCTTTATGTCCTTTTGTCATTTACCAGAAAAAACAAACTTGTGGATCTCTTTATAACCCTTAAGCTTCACAAGCCACTACAATCTTCTTTCTGATTTCTTCAGAAAACTCTTTGTAACTCACTGTTGCTTTAATAGTCAAGAGAACCAGACTAAATATCCAAGGTTCAAGGCAGGTCTCCTTTGAAAAAAAAAATTTGACTTTTGTAGTGTAGGGATGCCTGCATTTATTCCTTTATAGGAAATTGCAATTTTCTAAAAACTGTTACAAGTTATTCTGTTTAGTTTTTATTATTTATTTATATATTTTTCAACTTGAAAAAAATTGATATGGGAATTTAAACACCTTTTCAAACCCACAGATAAAAGTTACTCCAATTAAAAGATGTCTTTATTGAGTTAACTGTTATCTATTTAATGAAAATTAGCCGAAGACTGATCGACGTAATTTTAAATGTAAAATTTTTGTTTATCTTAATAGTAATGCTTTAGTTTCTTAAATGTGTTTAAAACTTTTTTTTGTTACACATCAGACAAAAGGAAACTGTGCCAAAGTCGTTGCTAAGTTTTATCTGAGTCAGAATTAGTATAAAAGCTACAGTCAGAGATAAATCTCCAGCCGACAGTGGAGGCTGAAAGTGACGTCACGAACGCGCTGCCGGGAAGGAGAGGATGCAGTGACCTCCAGCTTCAACGGTTCAGCTTCTGTCACCTTGAGAAGAAAAATGAGACCTGCAGCTGCAGAACAAACCCAACAAAAGCACAGGAATTATTCACTTTAAAACCCCACATAAGGTTAGAACTTGCCAGAACCAGAACGCATTTCAATAATTCCCCCAAAAACAATCTCTTCATAAAAATTTAGACCAATGATTCTTAAAAAAGATAAATTTAGATCAACTTAAGAGAGTTTAATTATTTTTTTCTTCCTTTAATTTTAGATTTCAGTCCCATCCAATGCATCTTCCAAGGCCTTATATACCTTCGGATATGCATTCAAAGCACTTCAGTGGATACTGTGCAGCTAAATGTATAAAAAATAAATAAATAAATAAAACATGCTGGTTTCATAGATGGAAAACTGTAGCCTACTGGAGAACCAGCAAGGTGGTGAACAAGAAGCTTCATATGCTTACTGTTCCTGTTTATATGATATTCGCTGGATCTTCATCCAGCCTTGTTTGTTGTCCAGTTTAACCATCACTTAGAACTACATCTATGCCTAGAAAAATCAAATCAATGCAACTCAGTCATAAAGAAGATTGAATACAATACAATCACAGATATATAAAACAAATATTCAGTTCAAAAATGTCATGAATCTAAGAAAGCTAAACTAACTTTATTACTTCCTCCTGGTGGAGCAGTTATGCAGCTTATATAGATCAACACATCTGTCTGAACAATTAAATGTTCTCTTCTCTTTCTGATTGGGAGGAGTGGGAAAAGAAAAGTTTTTTTTTATTTACTGTAATGCTAATCTTTGTGAAGGTTTAACAGTTTTAGAATTAGAACTCATTACACAGCGGATTGTCTTACAAAAGTATTCCCCTAGTTTGTATAGTTACTCCAAAAACATTTCTATGCATCATACAAACGATACATGGTTTTCAATGTCTGCTACAAATAAGAAGCTGCTCAAATCTGTCTTGTCTCTGCTCTACCATACTCTATGTTCTATAGCCACAAATCCATTTTTAAATTGTTTTTTTTTTTTTCACATCCAGACACTTATACTTGCCTTGTCTTGGTAAAGTATCTAAAGGTCATAGACAAATAATCTGTCAGATTTAAGTCTGGGCTTCGACTGGGCCATTTCACCACACAAATATACTTTGATCTATTATAGCTCATTGTTAATGTTCAGGGTTGTTTTTTTGTGTAAAGGTGAACCTCCATCACAGTCTAATTTTTTATTTTTATTTTTGCAGACTCTAAAATAAATATTTTCTTGTATCGGTGCCATGCATTCAATAAGACTTGAGTTTCACTTAAACCAGCCT